AACTATTTCGTCAATTGTTTGAGTAAGTGAGACTTTTTAAGCTCTACTTGAAGTCGACTTGCTAATTGGTCTAAGATTTGCGGGTAGGTGATTGTCACTCATCTTGTCCTCCGCGAGGCAATCAAACAACAGTTTGGCACAACGTATGGTCGAATCACTGAGGTTCTTATAGACTTTCGGAATATTCAGTACCGCAGAGAACCAATGAGGACCAACGGCAGTCTTAAATGGCCTAAGACACCCAAGCCTTAAAGATATGTACGTCCTATAAATTCAATTCAAAGCATGCTTTGCTTTGCGGACCATGATCTGCAGTATGAGGCCATTTGCCTAGTTTCACAATGTTCGGTTTACAAGATTGTTCTAGACGACGACTTAGAACACCAAATTATTATTCTCAGTCTAGGATTACAGATATCATCACAGTGTCGTGACTTACTTCATGGTTCGGAAATTTTAGGTTACGTAGGCCATCTTGAGCCCGTGAAATGGACCCAAGTAAGTTACCATAGATATATGCTCTCACATTTCTGAACAATGTGTATGTGAGTCCTCTGAAGACGAGTCAAAGGTTATTTCAAATAACACGAGCTCAGCATCTCAAGACAACCGTCCGAAAAGCTGTCAAAAGCTTCTGATACAATCGTACGCATGGTCATTTCCGCTTGTGCGTAAGCGTATGAAATTGGCTTTAGGAGTCTAGATAATGCTTGTGGCTATGTTTTAAAATATCAGTTTGACACATCCATGTAAAACACAAAACACCATGATGAGCTTGATTTTAGAATAAAGTTGATGTGACACTTGACGATAATCACAGGAGGGTCTATTTGAAGAGACAGTAGATACGTGACTAGATAAGATAGTGTTAGCTGCTCTGTAATAGAAATTGTAAGAAGAGTCAGAAATAACTTGTTAACAAATTGTACTAGATATTACACCTGCATAGGCTGAGTAGGTCTACTATGTGTAGTACCCACAACAGCATACAGGACCCCGAACCGGTTACAGCCACACTTACAGATATGGCCATGGCATGCTAACATCTTCAGGTTCTACGACCAGTCTTTAAGCCGAGCGCAACAAGTGTTCTGAAGTTTCAAATCCGCTTCTCTGAAACCATGTTATATTTTGACATCGACCTTTCTTTTGAATAATTGGAACTGTGAAATCAATTATCAAATGAGGAATAGACATAGATTATACCATAAATTCTAGATCTTACCTATCAAACAACTCTGCGAAGAAAATGGTATCATAGCGCTTACCAGCAATTGTTGAAGCGCATTTCGAAAGGTTAATTACATTACCCAGCATACCTGCATCGATCCCGATTGCCCGTCGATATTGCAACGAGTTCCTATTCTCCAAAGACAATAACATTCAGTTCTGGCTAGAGCAACCCAGACCTTCAATCTAAGGACGGTGGGTTGGAGGAGCTGTCTAACTTGAAATCTCTCTGAATCATCAGCGATCTCGCTTAAGCCGTGTCTTCCCCAGAGATTCCACGATATTCACCCAGTCAGTAACCATGTTTTTATCCATTGCACTTTATAGCTCGTGAAATGGTAGAGGATCTTCACGTTAACTCTCAAATATGAGTGTGTTGGAGGCACAGTTGATGTATATGAGCTGGGGATTCCCTAATCCCAATCTCTTGCACTTCTTCTGTCGTCACTGTTTCGAAAAGTTTTGACTTGAATATTCCTGTAAAATAGTCGATACTCCAGATACACACCGTGAATAACATGATTCGACATTCTCTCTGACAGCTCGCACATTTGGAAGTGGGAAGATCATTGTGTCAAAATCTACTCGTATTCGTGTAAAAATTGAGCCCGACATGTTCTACACATCGTTCGCTCGAAGAGCAACCTACCCTAAATGAAATTCAACTGATTTAGTTCGATGTCTTTTCTATTTTATTGATCGGACCGTTTGGACCGCGAGATTTTCCACATCTATTGGGTGATACGAGCCTTCCTAGCCAGCTGACTCACCAAGACAAGTTGCGGTCAACACCGTATATTACAATGAACTCAGCAGGCCAATAAAGTTCACATATTGGAATTACCCTTGCAGTATGTAGCCTATGATTTTACAACACATACCTTTCAGTCGTAGCAACTTCTCGGGAATTCACAATTGAATATCTGAGCATTTATGAAGCTAGAATAATCATGAAGTCATTATAACTTTAACATCATAGAACCATCAGCTCTGCAACCGGCTCTAGTTATATGTTACAAGACTCGTTACAACAAGTGATCAAATACTTATTCTGTCTCGCTTCAAATTACAGCTACCACTACCTCAAAGATAGATGTCTACGAGAAAATGCAGGCAACGCAGCCAGTGAGATATCTGCAAATAATTTCCGAATAAAGTATATATATTTTCAACGTGCAACTGTCTAGGTCCACGTGGATAAATTCAATTACATCTCTGAGGTCATATAGATACTTCGTCCTAAACCAGGAGATAAATATACCAGAAATCAACAAACGGTGGGATGCCGTCAGAGAGTGAGACTAAGAGTCTAGCCGCAGCCTCTTGACCAATAGGTCCCCGAGTCAACTCTTTGAAAATACTCCGTTAGAGACGAGAGCCTATATGAGGGCTTTCCTGATGTAAAAACTGATTGGGGCGAACCTGGCACACTGAAAAGTAGAATCTGATAGAGCTGTAAAACTCCCATCTCGACATCTTGATGCAAGTTGATGCCCAAGGATGATGGCATATGTTAATCAGCTCGCAATGCCAATTGTGGACAAGTCACCAGAAGACAAAACAGCCAAGTGGCAAACCAGCAGTGTTATACTGTGCACGGTCTCCAGAAGAACCAACCAATGGAAAGGGTATCTTATTCAAAATCTACGAATGTACTGTATAGCAAAAGGAGACTCGCTTTCAAAATATTCATGCTAGTATGCAATTATAGATTTTTCTCCGCCACCTTCAAATCCCAATTTATCTTTGGCGGATGATTTCGGTCAAGAAATCCTCACTGCAGTTTGTTAAATTCCGTACTGAGCAAGAATAGGTCTGGTCAACTTACAAGGACAAAGTAATATATCCGTCCCGGTCATCATCGTACTTCTTGAAAACATCCGTCATCCTCTTCAGACTGATGCAACTCTGCA